TTACTATTGAAATTCATCATTAACGTTGGGTTTTTGTGCAACTAGAAAATGCTTACAGCTTTTGTAAATCTTGCAAACCCTTAAAGGTGTTGTTTTGAATCGTAATTATTTTGTTCGAATCCAGCCATCTAAAATAGATTTTTTAGATTATTTAAGGTAGGACTCAATAGATAGGTCAAAATTTTCCTCAAATTCAGTTGTTTAGAAATTTTTATATTTGTGCTAGGATACAACAGATATTTCCAATATATTTAAATGTTAAATTTGGATTCCAAATTGTGGCCCAAACCTACCCACGGGGGTTATGATTTTTACAATTAAGAATCTACATGTACACTACTTTAGGATTATTCCACATAAGTTTCAGCTTTTCCGGCCCAGTGGTTCTTAAGAAGAAGATTTTTAATGACCTTACTATATTTTTCTCTTTTCTTGGTTATCTCCCCATGCGATGAGACTTAACCCTTTATTTTAAGAAATAAAACTTCCCTTACCCCATGGATGTTTTGTACCAATTCTTGAGAAGAAGTTGAAAATAAGAAAAGTTTGCAGACGGACAGACAGACATACGGACGACGGACAAAATGTGATCAGAAAAGCTCACTTGAGCCTTCCACTCAGGTGAGCTAAAAACTCTGGCCTTAGTATAACAGATGCTCCACATATACTATCAAATCTCTCCTCTCTATTTGACGTATATATATAACTCAAAATTAAGAGACAAAGCATTCATAATCGTTAAGCTGATTGGAAAGTAAGTATCTTTTCTTTGTTTAGATGATTTTATTTTATTTTTTTTTCCAAATTGCCAAAAATAAATGCCCACTAGTATTAATTTCATATAGAAAATTAAGAATGTTTCAATATTATGAAAAAAAGAAAAAAAAATTGTCGAATATCGCGATACCTCGAATGTCATGAAGCTTTAATTTATCAGAGTTCATATCACTTTTTTTACGTATGTTTAATCTCCATATCTTGAATTCGGGGATATCTCGACGATTCCCATTGGTTTGATCGAGTTCTAGATACCACGTTTGTCTCTGAAAATATAAATAAAATAAAAATGTTAGACACCAGTATATTTTGATATGACCGGTGCTTATATTGCTGCAACAACGAGAGTAAAAATTATGCAACGTCTCTCTTCATCATTTTTTTTTCTCATAAATTAAAGATCAACGCATTATCATTGTGTAAAATCAATTATTTGGACTATATGTGCAGTTAATTTATTCCGTTTAATCAAACAGAATTCGCATTATAATTATAATACCACATACCTTTGCCTAATGTTACTAACATTTTCACCAGAGTATTACAGTGAAAAAATAAGGAGATTACGAACGATATTGTACTATAAAAGCTCAATTTTTGAGCGGAACAAACACAGACCTCTAAAAATATAATTATAAGACAATCTATTTAGCAAGACCATTGTATCTAACTATGCAAATGGTGATGCAAAAACAATTAATTTGACTAACATAGCTAAACATTCTTGGCTCTATAGCGTGAAGACGGAGCATTTTTTGGAAATCGGTACTTTACGTATAAAGTTATGCAAATCTTGTAAAATACAATCAATTATACATTTATTTATATATATCCAGCATATAATAAATTAATTTTGACGATTTTAAGTGGAATACATGTATACATAGTATACCATGGGCTGCTCTCTCTTATGTTATCTTTTGTAATTGGTGCATATATATACCTGATGTGTATCACCCAATTCTACTGTAAATGGTATTCGGAATGAGATATATTTTTTCACAGAACTTCAAAATGGGATTTTCAATCATCCGACTGCTATTGGCTGCACTCTTTTTGGTGTTTATTGGGGCTGTTTGTGGAACTCTATCAGACGAGGCGTCATTGGTTAAAAGAAGTTTTCAAAACCGGCTTTGTACGTTCAATAATTTAGTCATTTTATGATTCAAAATTATTAAATCATTAGTAATACTGTAAAATCACGTATTTTCGTGGGATCAAGTTTTCGTTGTTTGAGAAAAAATATGGGTTCGTCGGGATTTTATATCATGGATGAAGAAACGCTAAGTAGTTATATATGTGAAAATTATTTTATCATGGTGGATAAAAATGGGTCTCTTTAAACCTCAAAAACCACGAAAATTAACCCCCCACGAAAAGCAGTGATTTCCCAGTAAATGGATTAATGTAATATAAATATTTTTTTCTGATTTCTTTTGTAGTAGAGAATCTTGTTCTCTCAGATCTTCAGAGCATTGAAAAACCCCAAATCAGTGGTTCTGTTCAATACAAAGCAAGCAAGTATGTATTTTCATGCGCGGATCTAGAGGATGGTCTGAGGGTGGTGATTCGGATCCCCTCCTGGAATTTAAAGAGTTATTAAATGCATAATTACACTAAACCAATTAAAAGTGACCTTGGGCCCCCCTAGAAAACGCGGATCCCTCCTAGAACGCATAAATCTATGTGAAATTAGTATGAATAGTCACTGGTATGAGTCATACGCACCCCCCCCCCTAGACACACACACACACACACGAAATAGATTTTTCATGTTTGTGAAATGAGTTTACTTTCTTATTCTAGACATTTCTGGGTTAGAATTTTTATTTGCCTGGGGTGGACCCCCTGGAAAAAAATCTTGATCCGCGCCTGCATTTTCACTCATTTAAGATGTCAATAAAGTTTGAATGTTGATGTTTCTAAAGAGTCTTAAACTGATATTGCTTTATCTTTGCAGTTTTCGTATAGCAGCTTTAACTCTACCAAGAATCTCAGTGCAAAAATTACAACAAAATCCACTCACTCTGAAATTGACTGCCGAAAACGGAAAAATTAGCGGAAAATTTGACTTTGGGTTCAGATATAAAACATCGCTGTAAGTCTGTGTGTGTGATGGAGAGGGTGTGTGTGTGTGTGGGAGAGAGAGAGGGGTGTGTGTGTGAGAGAGAGAGGGGTGAGAGAGAGAGAGAGAGAGAGAGAGACGTATTTACTACACCTTAATAACCCTAATATTGTTTTCTCCTTCGATCGTTATAAACAGTTATTTCTTCTATACAGACCTCGGCATACAGATGATGGATATGTAACTTACAGTGCAAGTAAAATTGGAATGGAAGTAAAAATAACAGCAGGTGTGTGTATGCTATTTTGAATGAAAAAATACGTATATATTTATTCTCCTAAACCTTGCGTCAAGTATATAATATTAGATATAAAAAAAATTAAAAAATATATTCATTTGATTGAAAACGTGAAATTTTATAAACTTTTTTTTTATAAACCAGATTTGGCCAATAAGTCCCTTCAGGTTAAAAGTTGCAGTAGCCCCCGTACTCCTATACGCATGAAATTCCATGGAACTGGAACGGGATGGAGTTGGATTTATAATCTTTTAAAAGGAATACTAGAAAGAAAACTAGAAAAAAGATTACCTGGTCCTAAAGGCGTGGTAGGTATCGTTTACTTTTATGACAAGGAGCACACGGCCGGTGTAAAGACGAATAATGACCCCCATCGAATAATGACCGGGGGGTCATTTTTCAACGACAAAAAATGACCCCACCCGTAGAAAAAAAATCATTTTTTGTAGAAAAAGGGTCCTAGGGGGTCATTATTTTATATGTTAGTCCTATAAAATAATGACCCCCATGGAAAAATGACCCCTTTTAAAGTGATACAAAATATACACTCTTTGATATCTTTTTTACAGCGAAACTCATTTTTACATTTTCTGTAACCAGAAAAATACAAAAAGTCGAATGAAATAATTAAGAGATTCACGTAGTCTTTTAATGCTAACATTGTGTTTGAAAAGAGATTCTTTAATTGTCAAGTAAATAAAATTTCTTTTTAATATTCCTCCTTATAGAGTTTGCTTAAAGAACGATATTCCACTTGTTTTTAGAAATCAAACCATGCAAAAATCAGGTTTAAATACTCTTTAATAGGAAAAATTAAATTTTCCGTCATTTCAACTTTTAGTTTTTTTAAGTTTGGCAAATCCTATTTGACAATGAAAAAGGAGGAAATTTTTATCCCCCCCCCAAAAAAAAGAGAACATTACGTTAAATCAAAACAAAAAAAAAATAACAAATGAAAAGCAAAAATATGAATAAAACTCTATACCTTTCAATGATTCTGAAAGAGGCTCTAGATAAAATATTGAAATGAAGTTAAGCCTTTACACAAGTACTATCATATCATAATTTACTTCGCCATGATTAAAGCATACTTCAAATGTTGGTGGAGGTATACTTGAAAGTATTGTGGCAAAGTAACAGTTAAAAATTAGTAGAATAGTAGATTATATTTAGCTTATTTTTAATTCCTTCTTATAGAAAAATAAAGGTAGTGTGGTTTTTTTTTGCTTTTGTTCAATATTGACTTCCTCCTAAATAAGAAAGGGGGTGGGGTAAGTATAAGACCTAAAAATATGCTCTGTAAAGCTATGGGCTAGTGTAAAATACACAGTCATTCTAATGCAAAAACTATACATGTAAACACAAACTCTTGATTTAGCACACAGTATTCATTACATTTCTTTTAACGCAGAACCTACTTCGTATGACATCATAACTGGTAAATGTGTTAAACCTGTGCTAACCCATTAAGACGTCATAATCAATTCAATGCCACTTTTTCCCGTACTTGACAGCTTCAATAAAAATGGTAGAAAATACTGCATTTTGAAATTCACAGAATTCAATCATGCCAACATAATCTTAATTCAATTCATATATTTTTTGGTTTATAATGCTTAATGGCAAAATATTTCTGGAATAAGAGAAAATATGTAGGCACCTTTTATTTACTAGATCTAGACCTGAAGTTTACAAACCCAAGACTATCTAGTGTAATGAAATTATAATGTACATACAATTTTCGTAATAATTTGAATGGTATGTAACCATTTTGAAGGAATGCATAAATCGTAAGAAATCTTTAGTTGCCAGCTATATAGTGTAATATCTTGATGAAATGTGTCTAAGTCAAAGATGTACGTGTTGTAGATCTTTTGATCGTGTGTACATTTTTGTGATATCTTTAATGAAATGATGTGCATTCCTTTTAGCAATTATTTGTTACCTATTCATATTCTTGGTGTTTGATTACAATTTTTCTATTAAATATGATCTTTTTAAAGTAAAAGTACAATTTCTGATAAATATTTAATCTGAAAGTAACCCCAAACAGTCATTTAATTATTAAATCCCGTGTAAGTGCAAAAAGGTCAAGAATATGAATATCGGTAAATAGCCTATCTTTCATTAGTTAGAGCATGTAGAGGGGAAAAGTATATATTTTAATCATTTTTTGTAATCATTTGGCTATGTTCTTCATCATATTGAAGATTGAAAACATTGTGACAAAGACTTCTAAAAAATATTTACAAATATAGGGTGCATAATTGACTAAAAATAATAGAGTTCATTTGACTATTTTTTTTTAAATGGTGGACTTATCTTTTATGTTAATTGAACATGTTGAATAAAAAAGAAATTATTCTTGATAAAATATTGTTTAAGATTATTCAGTTAAAAAAGTTTATAAACGACGATGTTTGAAGAAGTATTTTTGTGATTTTTCATATTCCCTTTATGACAAGTACCCCTAAAAAAAATTTGAAAATGTGAAGTCGCAGTATGTAAATACCATACCAAGTTTCACAGCCTGTTCTAGATTGAAAAACAAGGAAACATATCATGATATCTTAACTGAATGATAAGCAAGTACAATTTTATTATTTTGAAAAGTTTGAAAATCTTGTGAAAAAGACTTTTCCGACATAGGTTCTACCTTAATTCTTGTTTTACTCCACCCTTTTACTCAGTTCTGAGTATATTTTTCGGAGAATTTAATATGGAAATCAGAACAAACATTTTCATTGTTGTAACGTCTTCTTTATAATGTATATTAATATGAAAGTTAATTGAAGACCATTTCTTTTTATGTCCCCGTAATCGAAGATTCGGGGGTATATAGTTTTATCGTGTTCGTCTGTGTGTCCGTCTGTCTATATGGCGGTTTGTTTGTCCGCAAAAACCTTAACCTTTATCATAACTTTTCATTTATTGGAGCTATGACTTTCATATTTAATATGTATATTCCTTGTGACAAGACCTTACTTTGGGTACCACTAAATTTGACTTTTTGACCTTTACCTTGGCGTTTGTCCCATTTTACACAAAAATGCCAAATTTTTACTTTGGCCATAACTTTTAAACGGTAGATACTAGTACTCTCATACTTCAAATATGTAGTTTTTTGGCATTACCTTTCATTGGATACTAAAAACCTTGACCTTTTGACCTTGACCTTGGAGTTTTCCGTACTTATGATTTTTTGTTACCTTGGCCTTAACTTTTGAACGGTAAGGGCTAGGATATTCATACTTCACATATGTAATCCTTGTTACATTAAACATTTTCTTAAGAAATCATCAACTTTGACCTTTGAGTTTGACCTACCTTTCAAAAACTTATCCTTAGCCATTACTTTTGAACAAGTGGTGCTAGGGCTTTCCTATTTTGCAGTTGTATTTCTTGTGAGAAGACCCTACTTTGAGTAACAACATATTTAAATTGCATTTAAGAAAAGTTTAATCTTCGCTATGTTGCCATACAGGGGCATAGCTGTTTCACAAACACATCTTTTTATATATGAGGATTTGCGGATAAGAGATGGATACCTCAAAGCGTAACAGACGTACGGACGGACATCCCGATCACTATATACCCTCCCGCTTTTCAAGCGGAGGATATAATAATATACAATACTGCTGATTTTTTCTGTCAGTTCGATGATTTCCACCATCAAAAAACAATTTTTACCTAACCCTTAAGGCTTGATAAATCTTTTACTCCTTTAGATTCTGAATCATTGTATTTACCTTAAAATATGGCTATAATTGTATAATGTTATGAGATCAACATATCATCAGTTTATTCCCAATAAGCTCAGGTGAGCTTTTTGGCCATTAGCATCTTTATCTAATTTTTTTTTTGCCCCCTAAAAATTTTAGCTTTAATCTACAGGGGGTCATTTTTCTATGGGGGTCATTTTTCTTCACGTGGGTTCTGCAAATTTTTAGGGAAGTGACACTTTTTCTACGGGGCAAAAGGGTCATTTTTCTACGTCGAATAATGACCGGGGGTCATTTTTCGCTGTCGAAAAATGACTCCCGGTCATTATTCGATGGGGGTCATTATTCGTCTTTACACCTGCAAAAAACAGTGCCGTGTAAATAAATTATTGAACACCAAGGCGATTTCATCATTTTAAATTACATGTATATTGAATCTGAATTACATAATGAAATGGGCTATAAAAATGCTTAATTTCTTCAAGTGAAATAAAAATCTTTCACACAAATTACAGAGCGCACCCCAAACTACGAAATGCTTTCACGGAACTCTGCAAATATTCAATCCTCGGCAACAAGAAATCAAGTTCATGACCGAATTTCACACAGAATTATATTAAAATATCACATCTATTGTAATATAGCGCGTTAGCAAAAAACACCATCTTTGCCGTGTTCTTTGCTCAACGAGAATAAGTGCAGATGTACTGCATCCACAGATGAAGAGTTATTGACCCTGACACAGCGATTGAAATCGTGAATGCGACAGCTCTCAAAAATGTCAAATGATGAACGGGCATCTTTTTTCCTTGATTTTCGAATAACAAATGAATTTTCCTTCTTAACTTCGAATTTTTCTGTTTGATATTCAAAGGTTTACTTGTGAATTTCATAAAAAAAAAAATCTTTGCTTAAATTACGACGGGATGCCGCAATCCGACGTCCTTTCTCATGAATACACACGTTTTAATGAGTTTATTAAAAATACTGGCAGGAAGGAGAGATTATCCCTGCTGTCACCTGACAAAGACTACATTTTCTATTGGTGTATTTAAAAATCATGCATGATTATTTGTGATATGAAGTTTGATTGGCCATGATACAAGAAAGTTATTGAATATTTATTATTGTGTATACGCTAAATCTACGCTAACTCGTTCAAAATTCAATTTCCGCCAAATATCGTAGACGCTAAATATAATACACTTACAGTATACAATAACTATTACTTATGACACTTTACTTTGAAAGTGTACTTTGATAATTTTAGTTACCACACAAACTGAGATTTAAATATTATGAAAATATATCGGGATCGGTTTACAAAAACATATATTTACTGAAAATTGCATTAAAGACAGTCTGAAATCTCTTTTGGAGGATTGTAATAAAATTCATTTGATTTCATTATCAATATTTATTTTAGCTTCGGGTGTGGGATTTTGTGGGATTGTAGGATTTATTCTAGTTTTGTGTGGGAATCATATTTCTGATTCTATCACAGTCTTACTATCCATTGTTTTTTCCTCACAGGCAAATACACTATTTTAAAAATATGTGTAACAAAAAGTTTACTACTATAAGATTATTTGCGTCTTTAATGATTCTATAA